GCACTAGGCCCGGACGCGAGAGGTCGCCATCGCCGATCACTTCCCTGAGGGCACGGCGGTGCTCAGCCCACGCAGGGCATTCTCCCACTGTGTGTTCCACCATTATAAGATATTATAAGATATAAGGCATTATAAGATAGCTTCGTATTAGGGCGGAATTGAAACATTTTTCTTACCAATACTTGGAATAAAATTGTCAGTGCTGAATAGGTTGAGTCGGCTTGTAAACTGGCAAGTGTGACAAGGGTCATTGCTCTAATTAGGCAATAAGATGCAGTGCGCAGATTGCACCAACAATTTGTTATTTCCTGTCATTGAAATGATGACCTAACAATGTAACTAGGTCTAGAATGTGAATCTAGTCTAAGCTTGATGTCGCGGAGAACCTAACGGTGTCGCGGAGAACCTAACGGGTAACCGGGGCTCCGGCTCGACGTGCAGGAGAAGGAACGGGGTGGTTTTTAGTCAGTAAGAGTCTGACACTCCCTCCCGCCTCACTCAGGCGGGAGCAGTCAGTTGATGATTTTCCCGCGTTAAAAAAAAAATCTAAGCTTGATAGGTATGCAAAATATTGCAAATGAACTTCTAACACCTTTAGTGTTGCGGGTGTCCATTTGCGATGACGACATTGAAACACATTGAAGTTTCAAAGACATAGTTTAAAGTGTTCTTAAATATAAATAAATAAATAAATAAATATAATCAAAGTCAAAGTCAAATTCAAAGTCAAAGTCAAAGCATTTATTTCAATTACACTACAAAAAAGGTACTTTTGAAACGTCAACAAATCTATATAAATAAAAATGAATTTCTGTTCGTTAGTCTCGCTAAAACTCGAGAACGGCTGAACCGATTTGGTTAATTTTGGTGTTGATAGGTTCGTGGAAGTCTAGGGAAGGTTTAAAAGGTTAGAAAAAACTTTTAGGCGGTATGAAGTTTGCCGGGTCTGCTAGTACAAAATAAATAATAGTCTGCCATGTTTTTATAATAACTATCGTGAGACATACTAAATTAACTAAAATCGCGGGTTACTCGCGTGAATATACTGAGAAAAGCTCTACTAGTTTCGAACCACAGAGGGGTTTTACTTCATGAGCAGCGTGCGCGGTCGCGGCGATGCTGCGCAACCTAATGTACAGCAGGCTGCGCGGATGGAAAATCCCAACGAACAACTGTTGGGCAGTAGTCCGCCAGGCACGAACACCTCGCCTGGTCGGAGGATCTTCCTCTTCCGATCTTAGAGCGCTTTACTGTCTGTTGATTGTTTACCATCAGGTAATCCGTCTGCACATATGCTGCCTACGCCAAATTAACTCGTCAAGTACCGTCATTATAGTCACAATTATAGAACAATAGGTTGCGGTCACCGGTGACCGCTTGGTGTTTGCAGTTTAAACCAGGTTCTTGCCAATTCCGATGAATGTAATATTATTAACGTAAAGTTCTCATGCACATATCTCTGCCAGCCCCCTCTTCAATTGAAGGCCGTTTACCCTCGCAATGACTAATAACTGTCTGACGGTTGAGTGACCACAATTATGACTGCTTTAAAAGGGGTCGCAGATTCAGTTCCTTGGTCCAAATAAGAGTCAAAATAAATATCAGTCTTACCAACTCGAGAGCTGAACTTCGGACCGTAACGATTTCAATGAAATAAGTGGTTAATAAATAAACAAAACTGTACAAACAAATGTGTCTATATGATAACCTCATTTCCTCCTTTTTAAGTTTATAAAAACAAAACAATACTAATATTTAAAAGTCTAAGAATCTCAACATCATCAGCCTAGTAGTAGTCACTGCTGACCAAAGGCCTCTTCTCACACAGAGAAGGTTTGAGCATTAACCACCACGCTTGCTCAATGCGGGTTGACGATTTGTTTAACATAACATCACACCTTTTATCCCCAAGGGGAAGGCAGAGGTGCACATTACGTAATATTACTTAATGCCGCTGTACAATGTAATACCCACTTTTCACTATTTATGTTATGAGTCCCATGTAATAGGGGGTGAGCCTATTGCCATATACCGGGCACAATTTCAACCTCCGTGCTACCATTGAGATTTCTTTTAAAACCCAGTGATACTTTGCCCGACCCGGGAATCGAACCCGAGACCACCTGCCCGGCAGTCGCACTTGCAACCACTCGGCCAACGAGGCAGTCATCAGCTTCATTTTTGAGGAGGTATGACATATCCCGCCTTGAGTGAGGCGAGAGGGAGTATCAGACTCTCACTGACTAACTACCACTCCGTTCCTACTCCTGCATAGCCGGAGCCCCGGTAACCCGTTACATTGTCGCGGAGAACCTAACGGGTAACCGGGGCTCCGGCTCGACGTGCAGGAGAAGGAACGGGGTGGTTTTTAGTCAGTAAGAGTCTGACACTCCCTTCCGCCTCACCCAGGCGGGAGCAGTCATTCGATGATTTTCGCCCCTTAAAAAAAAAAAACCCCGTTACATTGTTCGCGGCTCCAGATCCGGTTAAATTCGATTCTTAAGTGTTTCAATCATAACATGAAGGTGATTATAATAATATAGAAATTTCCTTATTCGCAATAAAACTATCTATAGTACTTATTATACTAATAATATGTAGAGAAATGATAAGATTGTATGTATGTATATATGTTAAACAACAACGTTATCAAGTAATGGGTGAATTACAACGAAACACTCAAATTGGTAACGAAACGAATTTGCTAACAAAACAGTTCTTCTTTAAACGTAATTTAGACAAAAAATCCCGAATAAAAACTCCAAGAAACTTAAATACAAGATAACCTATTTAAATCATATCAAAAAAAATAAGTATGCTTGATGATAACCTCTCGTTTGACCCATCTAACTATCAGTTGCGCGTCGGAGCCTCACGAGCGCGGTCGCGTCCGTAGCATCAAAAAATACACTTCGGAAAATAATGTTCTAACAACAACCGCGATAAAAATGGAACACCAAACTCTAGATAAAACAATGTCTACATCACCAATGTTGCCGAAAGAGGGTGGGGATGATAAAATGGTGATTATAACCCCTAGTAACGGGGTGGGGAAGATTTTAATTCGGGAGGACACTATTTTGGCCAATTTACACGGTTGTGCTGGGTGTGGGAAAAGTCAATTTACTTGTGGGGGAGTTAAAAATCAGTGGTCGGTGTTGTGTTGGGGGAAACAGTCGGAAAAGAAGTATTATTGCTGTAAGTATTGCGCATTTTTATATATATCTTATATATTATACTATTATATAAAGCGGAAGAGTTTGTTTTTTTGTTTGTTTGTTTGAACGCGCTAATCTCCGTAACTACACGGCTGATTTGAATAATTCTTTTTGTGTTGGATAGCGCATTTATCGAGGATGGCTATAGGCTATAAAACATCACGCTACGACTAATAGGAGCTGAGCAGAGCGTATGAAACCGCGCGGAAGTAGCTAGTTTCTTATGTATATATTAGCTTCTGAGATGAAAAGTACCCTATGTGTTATTTCGAACCATAATCTGCCCCTGTTCCAAGATTCATCCCGATCTCTTCAGCCATTTTGCACAGTTGCGGGGGCTGGGCAACCGGCTGCCGCGCAACGTATATCGGGTTCGATTTCTGCTCGGAACAACTATTTGTGTGATCCACAAATTGATGTTTCGGGTCTGGGTGTCATGTGTATGTGAACTTGTATGTTTGTAAACGCACCCACGACACAGGAAAACATCCTAGTGTGTGGCAACGATGTTTTTTTAAGTAATAAACATACATACAGACAAGCTCGCTAACTTTCATATCACTACTACTACTATAAAACAAAGTCGCTATCCGCCGTCTGTCTGTCCCTATGTATGCTTAGATCTTTAAAACTACGCAACGGATTTTGATGCGGTTTTCTTTAATAGATAGAGTGATTCTTAAGGAAGGTTTATAATATTGTTTAATACATGAATATTGCACGCTTGCGAAGCCGGGGCGGGTCGCTCATTTATAATATTAAGTAAGATAAGTAGATACATACATCCCCTATTACATGGGACTCATAACATAAATGGTAAAAATATAGTACCTATGTATTATGGTCCTCCTCTGACTTCTGCTTTGGAAATTAAAAGACATGCTGTTTTTATGTTTATCCAACCCCTATCTCTACCGTTATATTTTTAAGTTTATATCTGACTGTAAAGAATAGATGAAATTAGTAGCAAAATTAGTTTATTAAAAAATTCACGTCAAAATCATAATATAATTTGTGTATGACAACATGTATCATTCTGTCACTCTCTCAGCACTCCCCTACACTAATTATGGTCTGGAGTAACATCGGCTACTATTTACACCTGGGAACGCAGGCGAAGCCGCTGAAATATGAAAAAGTCAAAGTCAAAGTCAAAATTATTTCATTTCATTTCAATTAGACCAGAAAGGCACTTTTGATCGTCAACAACAAAAGTTTAGAAGTGAAGCTTGGCACATTCCAAGGTGTACATTCCTATGGAGAAGAACGAGCAAGAAACTCCACAGGTTACTCTTTTTCAATCGGGTTTACAATACAATTATCTAGTTACATAGTTTTGTTGGTTCGATGGTGTGAGAACAATGCAACAACTAAATCCAGTCAAAGAGATTGAAAAAGAAAATAACCTTGCGTATTAGTAGGGGGTGAGCCTATTGCCATGTACCGGACACAATGTTGGACTCCGCACTTCTCTCCATACTTCTGTAATATGTTATCTTGTGATTGTGATACGTCACCATGTCTAGTGACTTTGTGATGAGTTCAAAGTTAATCAGGATAGAGTCAGAATTTTGTAAATCTTAGGCGAGTTTGTTTGTTTGTTTGAACGCGCTTATCTCAAAAACTGCTGGTCCGATTTGAATAAATCTTTTTGTGTTGGATAGCCCATTTATATAGGAAGGCTATAGGTTATAAAACATCACGCTACGGTCAATAGGCGCCGAGCAAATCGCTCGGCTAAAAACTAGCTACTGAGCTAGTATTGTATACGAGCTGACCTGCAAACTTCGTATCCTCTCAATTGTTTTTCTGACCTTTTAAACCTTCCTGCTCTCTTTGACTGACTGACTGCCTCGTTGGCTGAGTGGTCGCAAGTAGGACTGCCGGGCAAGGGGTCTCAGGTTCGATTCCCGTAGGTCGGGAAAAATATTACTAGGTTATTAAAAAAATCTCAGTAGTAGCACGGAGTCTGGAATTGTGCCCGGTATAATATGGCAATATACTCACCATCTATTTTATATGGGACCCAGAACATAAACAGTGAAAAGTGGGTGTTACATTGTATAGTGGCATTAAGTGCCGTAATGTGCACCTCTGCCTACCTCTACGGAGATTAAAAGGCGTGATGTATGTTATGTTAAATCTTTCCTGGACTCCCACGAATATTTAAAGACAAAAATTGGAAAAATCGGTTCAGCCGTCGAGTTTCAGTGATAATTACGAACGGAAATTCATTTTTATTTACATATATGTGTATATATATTATATAGATAGATAGATGTACACCTCTGTCTACAGCTTTGAGAAATAATAGGCGTTTGTAATCTTATGCCTGATTTAATAAGAATCAAACCCAGAGCTTTATGTTCGGTAATAACGTTTGCGAATTACATCATTACTTTTTTAATGTGCCGATAAAGATTTTGCGATAGGGATCCGTAGCTATCTTATTTTATTAAATTACTATGGTTTTAATTAATGAGAATTAATATTAAACGTGAATAACTTTATTATGAATAAATATATACAACTTCATCAACAGCCTATAAATGCCCACTGCTGAGCAAAGCCTCTTCTCACACTGAGAAGGTTAGAGCGTTAATCACCATGCTTGCTCAATGCGGGTTGGTGATTTCAAACTTATAATTAGAAATTATAAGTCCAGGTTTCCTCACGATGTTTTTCCTTCACCGTTTGTTAGTGGTGTCTAAATAATCTTAGAAAGTACATATAACTCGGAAAAAGTCACATTGGTACTTGCCGTTGGTAGGTTTCGAACCCGCACCCTCATGCATGAGAAGTGGGCGTCTTAAACCTCCGGGCCACCACGACA